TATTATTTGATTACCCTTGGGAGCTGTTTGAATTATTCATGGAGATTATTTGACTCACTTGTGGAATTTGTTGATTCGCGTGGTGAGATAGTATTTGATTTGTTCGTGGATATTATCTGATTTATGCATGGGATTATTCGATTCGCTCACGAGATATGATTGGATTTATTCTTGAAAATTTTTAACTGGCTTGTTGAGATAATACTTGATATATTCACAGACATGTTACTCGACCTATTTGAGCAAATATTTGCATATGTTCATGGAAATATTATCTGATTTACTCGAGCGAGTATTTCATCTATTCGTGGAATCAATCGATTTATTCGTGGAAAAATTGTTTATTTGAGGATAACTACGGGTCATAGTTTTGAACTGAGAATATTTTGCGATCGTGCTTGACGTGCGTTGGGTATGTTTATCACTCTCGCATCGGTGGGCTTGAGGACATGAATTAAATTGCTGACGAGCGATTCAGGATCATGTTTATAGAGTTTTTGTATATAGGTTTTGCCACGCTATGTTTTCCGCTGACGCTACTAAACTTATCTGTTTTGATTCGATTTACAAGTCGGATTGTTTATAGTATGTCGAATTATTATGATAATATGTTTTTTCTTCAAAGCTAAAATAAAGGTAACGGATTTCAAAGCAAAGTAATGGATTTTAGTAGCATCCCGATTAATGATTTCGCAACCGAACACGTTATTGTTGGGATCTATGAGGATCTCGATATGCACAAATCACGGATAAACATTCAAACATAAACCTATGCGCAGCGGATCTAAAGGTTTGATGTAGAAAACTTACGGCTTAAAATTTATGTAGATCTGGCTGGCCTGAACGGATGATCGCAAGTCAAATCTTCTCGGAATCGAACAAACTTGACCAATCCAGGAAGCTGGCGTCACGGCGAAGTCAACGGCGTTGACCGGTCGGGAATCGGAGCGTCCACGCGCTCTCACGCGCGCGTGTGAGTCTCAGCAGCAGCAATCCTCCGGTGGCGCGTGTAGGCGCGTGCGGCGGCTGCTGGCGGCGATCTCGACGGCGATCTCTCCGACTCGTCGTCCTGGTCGTCGTGGTATGGTCACTTGCTGGTTTTGGTCT